TTCGCAGAAATAAGGTCATCTTGGTTATTTATCATCTTTCCAGCTTCTCCAAAATAAAGTATTACGGCTTGGATAGTTTAGTTTAGATTCATTATGTTTTAATTGAAGAAATATGGCTCCTTTGTAGGAGCTCCAACGGGACGTCCTTCCTGCATGATAGCTTCTTGAATGATACAGCTATTATTATTCTATTCAGCTTTGATTATTGCATGATTGGGATTCCTGTGTAACAAGATATTTTTTTACTAGTTACCAGTCTTACTCAGAAGATCAAATCAAAGATGGCGGCCGAAGGTAACCTCGTGGATTTGGTGTCTCACATCAAAACGATTCCCACAGACCCTGAATCGTACTTTCAGCCCACTAAAGACCTTCCAAAAGATACATTAAGCAGTTTAAAAAGGCTGTTTGATTTTTCAAGGCAACACGAGCTTTTGTATGGAAATGGTTCGTGTCTTTTGAAGGAGTTGATTGTTGATGGATTTGATGAAGAACAAATATGGCAACAAATAGAACTACAGAACAAACCCGTTATCACTGATACGAAGAAAAAAGTCAGAGATATTAGAAAGATGGGTTTAAAACTAAGATTACTACCTTCAGTTACTAAAAATGGACATGATGATGATGATGATGATGACGATGGACATTTAGGTGTTGAATTTGAAGACTCTGCTGATGAAGATGATGCGTTAGATTCAAATGAAACTGATAATAGAGTGATAATGCCAGCATCATCTTCAGAGGATGAAGAGGAAGATGAAATAGCGGCACAAGCAGCAGATGATGAAGATAAGGAAATAGATGATGACAATGAAATGGATGATGATGATGAAAATGATGGTGATGATAATAAACAACTATCAACAAAGCAAGAAAAGAAAAATCAAAGAGGAAAGAAGAAGGGAAAGTCGGGTTCAATAGTGGATGACAAGTTTTTCAAGTTATCAGAAATGACAGAATTTCTTGATAAAATGGATCAAGACTTTGAACGAAAACGAGATGGTAAACAAGATGATAATGACGAGGATGACATTGACATCTTCATGGATATTGAAAGTGATGGGGATGAGAATGAAGAGTCAGATGATGACGAGTGGGGGAATGTTTTAGGAACAACAGCAAAGATCATGGGAAGGTAATAAAACTTGAATTCTCTATTTTTAAGGATAAAAAAGAAACAATACTCAAGGGAATGACACCTGATGTGGAAAGGGAAACAGGCTACTGAACCTCAGTTGATTAAGCTATCTTTCTAATACTTGTTAAATTTTTGTTACATGACAGAGATATCCAAAGAGGTACAAAGAATGCAAAGACGAAARCAGCCGCTGAATTAAAATATAATGATTACTTTGATCCTCCCGATTATGAAAAGCAAAAAATGAAAAGGGATGAAGAAGACAGTGAAGAAGAAGATGATGATGACATAAATAATGATGTTGATGACTATATCGATGAAGGTGACATGGAAGATGATGATGATGACGATGATGAATCCAGGGATGACGAAGACAAGGAAATGATGGATGATGAAGACGAAGAAGAAGATGAGGGAAATAATAATGAGCAAAGTTTGTCTAAACATGAAAAAGAGAAATTGAAGGTATAGTTAATACAGAAAACGGATTTATGTTTTGTGGAGTAAAAAGTTCAGGATCTGATGCAGAGTCAGAGTAGGACCACCTCATAGATTGAAGAGGAATTTAGTGTGTTAAGTTTTGAGCGGGAACGCTGGGGATCCCAGAGAAAAAACCCTCAAATCAAGAAAGAGAATGAAGAAACTCTATTCACATGTTTTTCCAAGTCAGGGAGACACTCCACTGAGTGCATTACTGACAGCTAAGCTATCTTTATCATGTTACAGATGGAAAGGAAAATTGTGCAGCTGGAAAAGGAAAACCTTACTACCAAACCCTGGCAGATGAGTGGTGAAGCTGGAAGCACTGCAAGACCATTTAATAGTTTACTTGAAGAAGATCTTAACTTTGACCATACAACAGCAGTAGGTAATACATTATCAAGAGACAGCGAAAATGGACTCAAATAATTGTCATTCATAGGGCTCATAATTCCTGAACATTCATTGAAATTTAATTTATTTCTATCTGAAATAGAGAGAGTCATAGCTACCAAGATAAAAGTTTGTGATAAAGCTATTATTACCAGATCTAATTAGAATTCACAATTTAATTAGATCTACAATGTAGCATGTCAGATGAATTAGGCTTCCTAAATATTTTCTTTCTTTTATTTAGCTCCTCCAATCACTGAAGAGACAACCAAAAGCCTTGAAGACATCATCAAACAAAGAATCAAGGATGAGGTGAATATTCTTATATATTACTTTTATTATTCTTTTTACAGCTTGTTTATTGTAATTTGTTTTTGTTACAGTCTTGGGATGATGTTGAGCGTAAACAGAAGCCAGTAACACAAGCATATGAGTACAAGAAAAAACAGCCCTTAGATCAAGAGAAAAGCAAGCTTAGTTTGAGTCAGATTTACGAGCAGGAGTATGTCAAACAGACCCATGTACAGGTTAGTTTTTATTTTCTGGTTCAGTATTCTAAAAATCTGGCATTCTGATTGGCTGTTTTTCTTAGTATCTGCCTACAGCCTGGTATTACAGATGGGATCACAGATAGTCAAAAAGGAAAAAGGGAAAAAAGTTTTTTTTCTGTACTAAAGTTGGTCTGGATTAGGGGGAAAAAAATTTGTACCCTCTGTCTTGAAAACAGACCTAGGCACCGAATGGCCTCAGTCCATATAGGACCTTAGGATTGTACAGTAAATAACATATATTTGTCTTTGTTGTTTCATTATAAATTTTTCTGTGATACTTTTCAAATTTTTAGTCCCCAACCAAATTTTAGGGTTTATTTGCTACCAATTCAACTTAGGCCATTTGAATATTTCTTTCAGGAGGGGCCCAAAGAAGAAGAAGAAATCGAAGGACACAAGGAAATAAAGGAACTTATGACAAAGTTATTCACTAAATTGGATGCTTTGTCAAACTTCCACTTCACACCAAAACCTGTAAGTAAGAATAGTCTTTAGGATTTACCATGGGGGGGTGGGATGTCTCCAAAGTAATCAAAAAATCAACCCTTTCTATTCTCACTCAAAAAATTCATGCATTTAACAATAAGGGGGTCACCAGCATCCTAGCTTATGCCACTGTTCTTTATAATGATCTAAACACAGACAATATTTAGATGTTGTTGAGTCTTGTTTTACTGAGTTATATCGTAAAAGCATTTATGTTATCCAACAGCTCAAACCTGAGGTCAAGATAGTAACTAACACCCCAGTAATTAGCATGGAAGAAGTTGCTCCAGTCGTTGCAAGTGATGCCATGTTACTAGCACCTGAAGAAACACATGAGAAAAAGATTGGACTGAAAGGAGATACCGAGAAGACAGACACAGATAGAAAACGAGAAAGAAGAAGCAAGAAATTAAAGCAAAGACTAAAAGCAAAAGAAAAAATGAAGAAGGACAAGCTTATGAATAAATTAAATCCTGGTCTGGGAAATAAATATGCCAAGAAAAAGGCATTAGAGGATATCGAGAAGGAAAGCAAATCTTCTAAGAGTATTTCAGTAGTTAAAGAAAATGCTGAAGAAAGAACTTTGAAATCATCCTCTGCTTTCTTTTCTCGTTTGCATGATGAAGTCAAGCTACAAGTTAACTCAAAGAAGGGTCCAAGTGGAAAGAAGAAAAAGAAAGCTGAAACTAGTATCTCAGGGCTGAAACTGTAGACTAAAAATTTTGAAATTTTTAATTTAAAATTATTTTTGAGTAGACCTCTTTAACTTGGATCTAATGTGTTCCCATTTCAGACCATGTGTCATTATCTTGAGAATAAGATTCTTTGCTTACCTTCTTATGTACAACTGTTAAACAAAGAAATTATACTCTAGGGAATGAGACCTCTGAAATGGGAAAGCATTACTGTAATAATTACGTCCAACTAAAGTGTTCTAATCCAATGGTATGGTTGGTCCTGTTTCAACCRGACCAACTTTCGGGGGGAAAATATAAGAAAAATAATATAAAAATATAAGAAAATCTGAAAACCCTCGAAAACTGGACCAATCAGAAATTTGTGGCTACGGCCCTGTAACCATCACCATAACATCCTCCTGATAGTATTAGATTACCCCAAAAATGTATCTATGTAGTACCCTAGGCCAAATATACAATAGCTACGAACTACATTAAAAATTTTAAGATTTCATTTTATTCATACTTCCACTTGACCTATACTCTATGGGTGGTATATCACTAGTATCATGCAAAAATTTCTACATGGATTTCAGTCTGTAACGGCAATATTATAACCAACACCAGGCATGACTTTACTGGTTGTCAAAGTCTAGCATTTTTCTTAATATTTATAAAACTTAAGATATTTTAAAACGAGCATTAGAATTTCCATTGTTCTCCTGGTTTTGGCGCATCCAAATACTCCCCAATAGGAGTGCTGAATGATGCATTTTTACGGAAAGGAGTGTCTTGTGTTTTGACTTGTGAAACCCCCTATGGAATCAAAGAAAAATGAAACAAGTTAGAATATTAATCTCATAAGGAAAATAATGAAAATTTATGATGCAAGAACATCTGACTTACATGAATTTCTTGGTGCCTTTCAAGCCAAAAACTTAAAGATTGATCTTTATTTACGTCATGATTCTGAAAAAAAACAACATTGACAGTTATGCGTTAGATACTTTCACTAGATATTACTCAAGAACATGTTTTATTTTGCCAGTACATTTGCAAGACTACTCACCCTTGTTGGCTCTTTTATGAATGGTTCAAATTCTGTGAAGAAATGAACAGTTTATAAACGTTTTGATTAGAACATATATGACCTCCTAAAGCTACCRTTTGACAAACAATTTTGAAGGGCAGCAATACAACAAAACTTGTCCACAGAGCATTTCACCAATTCAGCTACATAAGTGCATTGGAACTGCAAATCTTTGGTTCTGTAGTTCTATCTCGATTGGTAACGTATCTTAACTTTTATGGAGTGGGATGCACAGATTATACATGCATGGTATATGTTAGTGTATAAGTGGGATTAAGGGGGTAGGGATTACTATGCAGTTTGACAAACTGGAATTGGAACTTTCAATGGGAAGCAATTTCAATGTTACAGCATATCATACCATACATGCTGTGACTCAGTACCATGCTGCCTACTCATAAAACAAGACACTCTTGGAGCATGCACTGGGTTGCCCAATGTGCTGGTATGCTAGACCTTATTTAACACCTAATCTGACTCTGTGGATTGTAACAGATTTTTACGACTAATTTTCAGACACTGGATCTTGAATCACAAAAAAAAGTTTTGAATTTTCACCTTTTCAATGGCCATGGATAATCTTAATGTAAAGCAAAAACATGCCCAACTTCTAAAACTTCTTTTCCTCTTCTAAATGCCCGAATTTTGAGTGTTTTTTAATTTTGGAAAATCCGGAACCGTACATAGCTGGAATGGACTGGACTTCGGTTGGCTGGATCGTACGGAATGTAGACGGTTTTTAACGCTGAATTTGCAGCTTTTATGCTATGATTTTCATTTTTTTATAAATAACTAGTGATTCTATTTCAAAATTTTGCAAAAAAAAAAATGCAAAATTTTAAAAAATGTTTCGAATCATGGCACTGGCTGAAGTCCTGTACATATGAAGCCAGTCAGTGGCAAAGGTTTTTCAAAGTACTGTATACATCATGTGTGTATAGGTGACTTTATGGATCGTAACAGATTTTTATGACTAATTTTCCTCCATTAAGATGATATTGAGAAAATTTGGATGTTATTTGGATGTGAATGGAATGGATTGGTTGTGACTGAAATGGATTGCAAGC